TTGAGATGATTCGTTGTCTATTCAGGTATTCCACAGATGCAGGGTACATCAAGTTGATTGTGGAAATTTAATCCGCTGCTCCTGAGGCTGCTAGGAGACATTTCCTTTTCTCTTCTTTGTTTTCACAGCTCCTGGGGTTCAGCTTTGAATTTGCCCCTGCCTCTGCGTGTAGGTCACCTCAGGGCATCTGTTCCCGCCCAGACAGGATGGGGTTAAAGGAGCAGCTGATTCGGGGACTCTGGATCACTCAGGCCGGGAGGAGGGAGGGGTACGGAGTTCGGGGCGAGCCTGCAGTGGCAGAGGCCAGTATGTTGCACCAGCCTTAGGTTCGCCGTGTGTTCTCCCAGGGAAGTTGTCCCTGGATCCCGGGACCCCTGGCAGTGGCGGGCTGCACAGGCTTCCGGAAGGGGGGTGTGGATAGTGACCTCTGCTCGCACACAGGCTTCTTGGTGGCAGCAGCAGCAGCCTTAGCGTCTCATGCCCGTCTCTGGGGTCCACGCTGTTAGCCGCGGCTCGCGCGCCCATCTCTGGAGCTCCGTTCAGCTGTGCTCTTAATCCCCTCACCTCGCGCACCAGGAAACAAAGAGGCAAGAAAAAGTCTCTTGCCTCTTCGGCAGCTCCAGACTTTTTCCTGGACTCCCTCCACTAACCCCCTTCAGGCTGTGTTCACGCCGCCAACCCCAGTCCTCTCCCTGCAATCCAACCGAAGCACCGAAGCCGGAGCCTCAGCTCCCAGCCCCAGCCTCAGCTCCCAGCCCCGCCCGCCCCGGCGGGTGAGCAGACAAGCCTCTCGCGCTGGTGAGTGCCGGTCGGCGCCGATCCTCTGTGCGGGAATCTCTCCGCTTTGCCCCCCGCACCCCTGTGGCTGCACTCTCCTCCGCGGCTCCGAAGCTCCCCGCTCCGCCCCCCGCAGTCTCCGCCCGCGAAGGGGCCTCTAGTGTGTGGAAACCTTTCCTCCTTCACAGCTCCCTCCCACTGGTGCAGGTCCTGTCCCTATTCTTTTGTGTCTGTTTTTCCTTTTTTCTTTTGCCCTACCCAGGTACGTAGGAAGTTTCTTGCCTTTTGGAGGTCTGAGGTCTTCTGCCAGCGTTCAGTAGGTGTTCTGTAGGAGTCGTTCCACATGTAGATGTATTTCTGATGTATTTAAGGGGAGGAAGGTGATCTCCACATCTTACTCTTCTGCCATCTTGAAGCTCCTCCTTCCTCCTGTGTTCTCTTATACAGGAGTATATTGGCTCCTAAGTGTGGAAGAGTGTAAGCTTTACTGACTTATGTTTCATGAAATAGCATTCTTTTGGTACTTTTTTTTGGTATGCTTAAGCTACAATCACAGACCAACCAAGTTCATAATCACTCAAAAATAATATAGAAGTGTTAACAGTTTTAACACTTACATTAAATTCAAACTAAGTTTATTAATTGAGTCTGAGGAAGGAAGTAGTATAGCTTAGCTTATCCATTTTCTTTTTATGTCATACTTGAGAAGTTTGTTGAAACTACATCCTTTCTTCTCTAAAATAATGCTTTATTTCATAAAGGCTGCATCCTGGACCCAAACGTTGCTTACCCGGCACATCAGTGACCACTTATGCATATCGGTTGTAATTTGACAATCATAATTGCAAGGTTTTTCTTTTAGAATGTGTCTGCTGAATGTGGATCAAATTGTAACTGACTTTTTTACTTGAAAATATCTTAGAGATTTCTTTAGAGTTTTCTCCTTTAATTAGAAATTAAAATCACACATAAATACCCAGCTTTAGAAATCCATTAAAAGTATTTACAATTAAAGTTTCTTGGGCTTCCCTGGTAGCGCAGTGGTTGAGAGTCCACCTGCTGATGCAGGCGACACGGGCTCGTGCCCCAGTCTGGGAAGATCCCACGTGGCGCAGAGGCGGCTGGGCCCGTGAGCCATGGCCGCTGAGCCTGCGCTTCCGGAGCCTGTGCTCTGCAACGGGAGAGGCCACAACAGTGAGAGGCCCACGTACCGCAAAAAAAGAAAAACAACAAAAAGAGCTTCTTATTAGGATCATTAATTTATCTAGCTAAAATATAAATACAACTCTTGGAAAAGCAAAGATACACAGTGCTGTATAGTATTTGAAACATTTTCTTATGGTTACATTCCTAGCTGTTACTAAATCACTATGATCACTGCAAATATCACTTATATCTTGTTTCCTACTTTGAAAAGCAGAAGTAGTAATTACTTTAAGGAGATTTCTGTTAAAAAGTCCTGTCCCTGTACTAGAGTTAAAAGACATAATTCAAAAAGCTGGCAAGGAAGAATATAATTTTATTTTGCATTTCATAAAGGATAATTAGTTGAAGTCTGTTGTAATGTCTGTGAAATTATTTGATAGAACTGATGCCTATTAATGGTAAAAACTTTGATTTCTATTATGACTATGTTAAAATGTCTTAACTTTCCAAAGGTCTTGCTGTTTAATATACTACATTTCAATTTATATGCCTGTGTGGAGACTGTATTTAGGACTCAAATTTTACCTTTGACAATCCTCCATCTGGCAAGCTTTTCTTTCTCTCCTCCTTTGTTAATTAAGATCTCAGGACACTAATTTGAAAGATTCCAATTAAAGAAGCTTGGTATTAGGCACAGATCTTGACTTAAAAGGCCATCAGAACCACGTTCAGGTCCTGGATCTGCTACTTAACTAACTATATGTGGTTCTGGACAAATTATTTCACTTCTCTAAGACTGGGTTTTCTCATCTGAAAAACAAGGATAGTAACACCTAATTCAGGATTATTGTGAGGCATGTACAGAAGGCATTCCACAGTTCCATGTAGGCTTTCAGTAAGTGTTACTAATAATCCCTTTTTATTCTATTCCACATTTTTTTTTCATTTGGTAGGGGGATGGGCTGTTTTAAGCAGGGATCCTTCATTTAATTTTAGACAGTGAATTTTAGACAATTCAAAGGAGTTTATAAGTAAAGTCTGAAGTTTGAGTTAAAGGAAATTGGATTGTGATACTCTGCAAAAACTAAGGATGTCAGACTGCTCAATACTTCAATTTTATGAAGTCTACTAGAAGCTATGAAGCAAGCCCCAGGAGTGTACATTGGTAGAGAAGTCAGCCATGATTTTTTTGAACCTTTGCACTAAAAAGTGTATAATACACTTTTTAAAATATAAACTTATTTATTTTTGGCTGCGTTGGGTCTTCATTGCTGCGTGTGGGCTTTCTCTAGTTGCGGCAGGTGGGGGCTGCTCTTCGTTGTGGTGCGTGGGCTTCTCATTGCCATGGCTTCTCTTGTTGCAGAGCATGGGCTCTAGGCGCGCGGGCTTCAGTAGTTGTGGCTTGTGGGCTCAGTAGTTGTGGCTTGTGGGCTCTAGAGCGCAGACTAAGTAGTTGTGGCGCACAGGCTTAGTTGCTCTGAGGCATGTGGGATCTTCCCGGCCCAGGGCTCGAACCCATGTCCCCTGCATTGGTAGGTGGATTCTTAACCAGTGCGCCACCAGGGAAGCCCAAAAGTGTATAATACACTTCTGAAGTAGTAACTCCTGAAGACTGATTTTGTGTCTGCATTTCATGAGGAAACTAACCTTATTCACAGAAATTTCTGTTATTTAGGGGGTGGTATTAATGTTTAAGCTAATAGAAGGAGTTGTCATTAATCAGTTTGATGGAATTTGTTTATTAGAAATAATTTTTAGAATTTGTTTTTTTAGATAGGTTGGCAATATATGAACTTTTAAAGTAATCTAGTAATTATGCAGATTATATTAAAATGTGTACCTTTAGAAGATCTAATTGTGATCATAGCCTTTTGATACATGGAGCACTTTATTTCTGATTATTTTTTAAAAATAATGTCCTTGGGACTTCCCTGGTGGTCCAGTGGTCAAGGCTTTGAGCTTCCACTGCAGGGGCACAGGTTCAATCCCTGGTCTGGGAACTAAGATCTTGCATGCCGTGTAGGTTGCCAAAAATAATGATAAGAATAATAATGTCCTTAATTGAGATCCCACTGAACCTAAATAACTTTTCATCATACTATATATTTTTTCACTTAACACAGTATATTGTCCATGAGAAGAATTATCACAAAACTAAATTTGTGGTAATTCCCTAATCCATTTTCTGTTCTTTAGTTTTCCGCTCTTGGTGGCATAAAGCAAAAAGCTCACTTATCTAAAGCGTTTAGAGAATTTAATTTCTTTATACAGAATAAATACATATTTGGTATTTGTATTATGTTTATGGTTTTCCAGGAATTAAAAGTATTGTGTAGGTGTGATATATATTACTTTGTTTGCCAGCTTGATCCATTTAATAAAAGGACTGGTTTGGAGGCAGGTGTGTAGGGGGGATTGGGAACTTGTTGATTGTTCACATTATGAGTATCTGAGGGACAGCACTTCTGAAATTTTTTTTTAAAGGAAACAAATGAGCTTTGAATGTATTATTTTAATGAAAAGTTAAATATGTGATATTAGCATCTATCTTCATCGAAATTGGCTGGCCATATAGAATGAATTACCATTTTTATATCCTAAAATGTGAGGCAGAATAAAGCTTCCTAACCTTCCTCGTATTGCTTAATTTCAAGAGTGTATTCTCTCTACCTTCTGCACGGTGGTAATTTGAAACAGATAAATATATTTAAGTAAATGTAACACAATTCTTTGAGAATTCTATTATATTCATTACAAATTTTTAAAGCATGATACAATCACAATGCTAGGGTCAGTAATCATTGAATAAAGAAGTGTTGGTACATAACAAACTTACTTGCTTTTTCCACTTAATATTAGAGTCATTCTTCTCCTTTCCCAACTCACAAATAATAACATGGGGGACAGGGAGCAGATAGTAGGAAGGTAGCTGTCAAATTTAAGCAGTAAAACTCCAAAAATAAGCCCATTTCTTAGCCTGTGTAAAATTTAACTAATTTAAAGGAGACTCAAAGAAGTTTGTTTAGCTTCCCATCCTTCAAAATTGTGTTTCTTTTCTACTTCATTCTTTCTTTCAGCATAAAGATGCTTATCAAGTGATATTGGATGGTGTCAAAGGTGGTACCAAGGAAAAAAGATTAGCAGCTCAGTTTATTCCAAAATTCTTTAAGCATTTTCCAGAATTGGCTGATTCTGCTATCAATGCACAGTTAGACCTCTGTGAGGATGAAGACGTATCAGTAAGTTTATGTTTGACACTTTTCAACAAGTTTTCAGATGTTGCTTTTGCCATTTTCAGATATTTTCTGTGTGTACCTAATATAACTGAAGTACCAATCATATCAGTGCACAATAAAATACTGCAGTGTGGCCTGGTGTGACAACATACCAAGGCTTAAATCTACATGTAAGAAAATATAATAGTTCTTTCAACTGTGAAAAATCTGTAGAATCATATAATACTTTGTTTTGCTTATTTGTTATCCACTGTTGAAAATGGTTGTGGCTCACATCTTTTCCTTAGATTATTACGCATTGTGCATATGAAATCAGACTAGTGTTAGTTTGTAGTCAATTTATGCTTGCTTGGATATTTAAAATAATAATAGTATTACAGCATAAAATATAGTTTTAACACCCCTAAATATTTTGCATAGCAGAAAAATAATTGACCTGTGAAAAAACTGTATGTGATTACTAGACTAAAAAGAAATAGTTTTTCCTTGGAACAGAATTAACCATTAGCATTTCTGGCTGCTGATACAGGTTCCTAAGAATTTTCAACTATTAGCCCCTGGCTTTTCAAATGAAATCATTGAATCATGATTTCATACATAATTTGTTAGATTTAACTCCATTGCACTTTTATGTTAAACTAGATAAGCCACAATCGCATATTTGGAATGAAGTTCACAGAATGTATTCACAAATATATTAAGTAGTCAATACTGAAAATTCTAAAGTAAATAGTTATCAGATATGACATTGACAACTGTAGCCATTCTTGAGGGATACAGTATTATGTACCCACAGGTAGTAAAAACCCAACAGTTGTGTATAATCAGCATATAAACTGTTGTTTATAATCTCAAATCTGCCTACTCCAGATAATTGTATTTAATGTCCCTTTCCACCACATTTTGTTTTAGTATTCTGTGAAGCTTTGAATATTAAATTTGAGTAAATTATTTCTAAAGCTGCTAAAAATCTCATATTTTTGTGACTCATATGCCCCTATATGGTTTGTCTGTGGTTTTTGTTTTCTTTAAAGGTTGAGGTTGTTTTTATTTATGATAGTATTTGGTTAATTTTTTGTTTGAAATTATGTTCAGATTCGACGGCAAGCAATTAAAGAGCTGCCTCAATTTGCCACTGGAGAAAATCTTCCCCGAGTGGCAGATATACTAACCCAACTTTTGCAGACAGGTAAGGAATTTTATTAATACCCTTTTATCTAAATATAAATTCTCTCTGAAATAATGACTCTGTTTTTCTTAGCTTTTTTTATTTTCTGAAGGTGCTACCTCTGATAGAAATTTAAATTCTCTTTTTTATTCAGTAGTTTGAAGCTTACTGACTTGTGATTATCTAATTTCTGGTTTTGTTTTGAATTCTGTTTATAAAGGTATAATGACTGGATTCTTTGGGGAATTTTTATTCACCACCATCCCCCCGCCCCCCAATTTCCTGTAGTTTCTCAATTGTACCATCTTAACATAAGAGCTTTACAGGTACACTAGATCAGGTTCTCTGCCCTTACAAGAAAGATGTATTTTCTTGGTACTTGAGAGAAATACTTAGTTATATGTCTCCGCTCAATGTAATCTGTGAGAAACTATGTTGAGTTTTAAGTTTGAAAATGAAGCAGATGATATTTTTCATTTATTTTATACATTGTACCACTTTTTTTCTATCTAGATGACTCTGCAGAATTTAACTTAGTGAACAATGCCCTATTAAGTATATTTAAGATGGATGCAAAAGGTAAGGCCACTGCTTGTTCTGAATTGTGTTTGATGTCCTAAAAAATTGGGGAGTTTGGCAGTACTCATTAAGGATAAAGTCTGGGATTCACCCAGACGTCTGTTTCATAAAAATTCTAAGTACTCTCCAAAAAAAGCTTAGCTCAAGATGTTTGTGACTCGAAAAACCAGCAGAAATAATTGCAAAAACAGATCAAACTTTTCCCTTAGAAGTCTGTTGGAAAAACTCCCTTTGCCACTTTAAAGAAATTCTTCCAAAATACCTGAGTTTATTTATTATTAATAGTGATAGAAAAGGAAAGTCATGCTCAAGCTGATTCTGAATCCGTGAACAAAGCATATGATCACTCTTATGGTTGGGGCTTTAGAAATTTCAGACAGTTTAACCAGTATCAGTGGTATTCAGGAAGTTTGTTAATTCACTTGAGAAGAAATACTGTAATTCAAATTAACTTGAAAAATTTCATTCCTATATGGAATTGACTTGCTACATGCAACTGTTTTGTTTTGCAGGGACTTTAGGTGGCTTGTTCAGCCAAATTCTTCAAGGAGAGGACATTGTTAGAGAAAGAGCAATTAAATTCCTTTCTACAAAACTTAAGACTTTACCAGATGAAGTCTTAACAAAGGAAGTAGAGGAACTTATACTTACTGAATCCAAGAAGGTAAGCTTCGGTTATCTTTTAGTGAACTTCTCTAATGCACAAGAACATATTTGAAATTAGCCGTATTCATCAGTGCTGTATGTAGCTTGTGTATAAGGTGATATATCCCGTAAGAACCACCGTAGAACTTCAAGATTTTCTTATGTTGTGCTTTGCACTTTGGTCACTTGTAATGATGAATCAATGTGTTAATTTAAAGGGTTTGATCACATTTAAATCCTTTGTGGTGTTATCCTTAAAATTTACGCATTCATCAGGAAGGAATCATTTCCTTCAGGAATTTTTACCTAATTCCTGCCCTTCCTCCCTGATTTTAGGATATTCTCCCATAGTATTCTGGATCATTTCAGAATGAAACTGAAGTCACCTTGAAATGACCTGTTGTTTCATCCTGTCCCATGACACTATAAGCTCTAGAGACCATGCTTATTTGTGCTTCCGGCGCTGGCATAGTTACAGTTGCTAAGATTTGAAAGGTGCGTCACAATTAACTTTTCATTCATACAGTGCCAACGTTTGGGAAATATTTATTTTTATGTGTTCAGGAAAATTCAAAATTTTCTCTAAAAGCACCACTCACTTGCATATTGATAAGATTTCTTTAGTGAGAGAGAAAGGAGCAGCATATTTCACCTATGCCCCAGCTAGTTATCTGGTGGGATACGTCATGATTGCTTGCTCCTTTGGTCAGTGAACAGAGAGGCTTAGACCTACTGATATGGAGCACTTAAAATTTGCATGGTCTCCTGTTTTGTATACAATTACCATATTAATGTGAATGAGGCTGCTTTTAAATATAGGGAACTGAGTCTGATTTAACAGTTTATTGCCACATTTTCTCCATCGTTTTTTGGCTATCACCCCCTTTTTAGATATTTTTTCCCTTAGCCACTATCCCATGAAACTTTAATACCACAGATATACTGTATATCTGTTTATGTACTGTATGTATATCTGTGCTTTATACGTAAAAAAAGAGTAAAATTTTCCAAGAACCAAATTTTGTTCCATTGGAAACAGTGTAGTGCACCATTGAGAATGCATGGCTTATTCTGAAGCTAACTTGACTGAAGCTTGAAGTTGTCCTCTCTTCAGTATTTCAGGAACATTAGCAGCAAACTGACTTTGCAAAACAAATTTGCTGTGCTGTTTCAGTATTGATGTTTCTTTCCCATTCAAATGATAAAGATACTAATAAACTGTTCTGAATCGTCTCTTTCCAGGTCCTAGAAGACGTGACTGGTGAGGAATTTGTCCTGTTTATGAAGATACTATCTGGGTTAAAAAGCTTACAGACAGTGAGTGGAAGGCAGCAACTGGTAGAGTTGGTGGCTGAACAGGCTGATCTGGAACAAACCTTCAATCCCTCGGATCCTGACTGTGTGGACAGGCTTTTACAGTGCACTCGGCAGGCGGTACCCCTCTTCTCTGTGAGCTCTTTGTTTTACATACCTGGTATTTTGATTACTCTGTTAGCTTAAAATTCTATAGATATACACTTGAGCATTCTTCTCAAACCTTTGTATAAAAGTATTAACCCAATGGAGCTATTATTTATTTTATGGAGGCCTAGGTGAAGAGCCCAAAGCAGCAAGAAATTTCTACATAGTCTTGCTTAGGGACTTTTTAAAAGTCTTGAGATTTTGCCTCATACTTTATAGTTTCACTGAGTTCTTAAAACACTTAGTTTAGTAATTTAACTTTTTTTTTTCCTATAATTTTTTAGATTGTTGTTGTAGGTATATTTGCTCTTTATCTCTGGCTTTGTGCTTCCTCTGGCCATGAATCTTCTGAGATGTGCATAGCACAGTTTGAAAAACACAATTTAAAGGAGCTGTCCTGCTACTTCCCTGGTGGTGCAGTCATTAAGACTCAGCACTCCCAACGCAGGGGGCCTGGGTTCGATCCCTGGTCAGGGAACTAGATCCCACGTGTATACCACAACCAAGGAGCCTGTGAGCTGCAACTAAGGAGCCCGCCTGCCGCAACTAAGACCCGGCACAGCCAAATAGATAAATAAATGTTTTTTTAAATAAACAAATAAAGGAGTTGTCCTTCTAAAGGGGGAATGTACAGTCTAAAATTCAACACTAAAGTTTCCCCCCAAATTTGACCTGAGAATCAAATAAGAGTTGAAAGATGTATAAAAGTCCCAATGCTCCAGATTACTTTGCAACAAAGTATATATTGTCTATTGAGGTTACTCCTGGGGTGCTTTGGGGTATGCACTCTGTTGTATTTTAGCCACAGTAGTTGATGCTTTGGTACTGAGCATTTGTCTATTGACATTCTGCTGTTTGAGAGAATATAATATATGTATATCTATATATATTTTTTGACAATTCAGTGTTCTTTGGATTTTTACAGAAAAATGTTCATTCCACAAGGTTTGTGACTTATTTCTGTGAGCAAGTTCTCCCTAACCTCAGTTCCTTGACTACCCCAGTGGAGGGTCTTGATATACAGTTGGAGGTAAGAGAAAATTTCTGCTTTTAGCACTGAAAAGTCATTCCCGTATTTCAACATAAATGTAAACCACTAACTTTGATCTGATTTCTAAGAGATTTAAGGCCTGGTGGTGACTAGCTAGTAACCTGTCCCAGGATTAATTACATAGGAATGCTTTATGGATTCATTGAGAGTTTGCTACAGTAGGAAAGCACCGCCTATAGTTTTCATTATAGTCTAAGTCTCTGCCTTTGTAGCCTTAATACTTTTAAATACGTTGTTCAATTATGACAGTTCCTATCTCTATGACTGATAGAGCCAGATTTAACTGATTAACACAAAACGTCCTTTATCCGTTCTCCAATAGAATTGACTGCTCTCTGTCCCCTTTATATCTCAACTGTAATGTACATATACATTTTTTTTGCAGCATATAAAATACTCTACATTTTTCTCCCCAATTTAACCTTATTCCTCTCTGAATCCTCAGAATCTAATGTAGAATTCTGAAAAGCACCTAGTAATGATTATTGAATTGAAATATGGAAATGTATGTGTCATTTCCTTCATGGGTCTTTAGGATAGAGAAGAGTCTCACTGTGCACTTACACTGTGGTTTCCTTCACATGTCCTGGGTTTGGCTTATCAGCCTGGAATTGAGTAAAGCAGAGATGAACCTAAAGAATAGTGACAATTACTGATAGTTTGAGTTAGTATCCAGAGACTAAGTTTGATAGCAAAGGAGGCCCATCCTAAATGTTAGTAAATAATTCTTTGCTGTTAAGAGTTCTTGCCCATTGTCTCTTTTCTTATACATTGTTAACCTGTAGCAGAAAGTGTATATTCTTTTCCTTACTAATTCTCACAGATATATTGAGAGTCATGAGATCTGGGTTTTAAAGTCTGCCCTGCCACTCACATATGTTGTGACTTTGCCAAGTCACATAATCTCTCTGACCTTCAGTTTCGTCAACAGTAAAATAGGGCTGCATCTCTAAATTTTTTTTCCAGTTCAAATGTTATGATTCTGTAAAAGCCTAACTGAAAAATAAGCAGTATTAAATAGTTATGAGGAATAATTATTATTTTATAACCCTTGCTCATTCAAAAAGAATGCTAATAACAGTGAATTGTGTGTTTTAGGTATTGAAACTGTTGGCTGAAATGAGTTCATTTTGTGGTGACATGGAAAAGCTAGAAACAAATTTAAGGAAACTGTTTGATAAGTTATTGGTAAGAACTTTTTTCTTTCCTTATGGCATAGTCAGTATAGAGCCCCAAAGTCTAATAGTGTAGTATTAATTTCTAGATTATGGAGAACCAGATTTTGAAATTATTTAGATAATAATTGTAGTGTTGTTAGCTGCTCAGACCACACGTTGTCTACTTTAAAAATAAAATCTGTTTTAATCTTAGGCATTTCTTCTGTTGTTGATGCTTTAGACAAAATATAATACAGGATTTATATAGTAAATCTTTCTGCTATTCCTTTATCAAAATATTTTAAATGTTTGCACCACATCACCATCAAGGTTGCTGCTCAAGACCAAATGGCTTTAGCAACCTGGAAATAAAGTCATTAATCATAATTATGGAGAAAATAGGCCATCTTTTTTAGTTTTTAATTGGAGTATAATTGCTTTACAATGTTGTGTTCATTTCCACTGTACAATGAAGTGAATAAGCTATATGTATACATAAAACCCCTCTCTCTTGGACCTCCCTGCCAACGCCCCCCATCCCACCTGTCTAAGTCATCACAGAGCACTGAGCTGACCTCCCTGTGCTATACAGCAGGTTCCCACTAGCTATCTCTTTTATACATGGTAGTGTTATTTATGTCAAACCTAATCTCCCAGTTCGTCCCACCCTTCCCTTAGCCACCATGTCCACATGTCCATTCTCTACCTCTTCATCTCTATTCTTGCCCTACAAATAGGTTCATCTGTACCATTTTTCTGGATTCCACATATATGCGTTAGTATGTGATATTTGTTTTTCTCTTTCTGGCTAACTTCACTTTGTATGACAGACTCTATCTAGGTCCATCCACCTCACTACAAGTAACTCAATTTTGTTTCTTTTTATGGCTGAGTAATATTCCATTGTATATATGTGCTACACCTTTATCCATTCATCTGTTGATGGACACTTAGGTTGCTTCCATGTCCTGGCTGTTGTAAATAGTGCTGCAGTGAACATTGTGGTACATGACTCTTTTTGAATTATGGTTTTCTCAGGGTATATGCCCAGTAGTGGGATTGCTGGGTGGTATGGTAGTTCTATTTTTAGTTTTTTAAGGAACCTCCATAATGTTCTCCATAGTGGCTGTATCAATTTACATTCCCACCAACAGTGCAAGAGAGTTCCCTTTTCTCCACACCCTCTCCAGCATTTATTGTTTGTAGATTTTTTTGATGATGGCCATTCTGACAGGTGTGAGGTGATACCTCATTGTGGTTTTGACTTGCATTTCTCTAATGATTAGTGATGTTGAGCATTCTTTCATGTGTTTGTTGGCAATCTGTATATCTTTGGAGAAATGTCTGTTTAGGTCTTCTGCCCATTTTTGGATTGGGTTGTTTGTTTTTTTGATGTTGAGCTGCATAAACTGCTTGTATATTTTGGAGATTAATCCTTTGTCATTTGATTTGTTTGCAAATATTTTCTTCCATTCTGAGGGGTGTCTTTTCGTCTTGCTTATGTTTTCCTTTGCTGTGCAAAAGCTTTTAAGTTTCAATAGGTCCCATTTCTTTATTTTTGTTTTTATTTCCATTTCTCTAGGAGGTGGGTCAAAAAGGATCTTGCTGTGATTTATGTCATAGACTGTTCTGCCTGTGTTTTCCTCTAAGTTTTATAGTATCTGGCCTTACACTTAGGTCTTTAATCCATTTTGAGTTTATTTTTGTGTATAGTATTAGGAAGTGTTCTGATTTCATTCTTTTACATGTAGCTGTCCAGTTTTCCCAGCACCACTTATTGAAGAGGCTGTTTTTTCTCTGTTGTATATTTTTGCCTCGTTTGTCAAAGATAAGGGGACCTATGTGTTTGGGTTTATCTCTGGGCTTTCTGTACTGTTCCACTGATCTATATTTCTGTTTTTGTGCCAGTACCATACTGTCTTGATTACTGTCGTTTTGAAGTTTAGTCTGAAGTCAGGGAGCCTGATTCCTCCAGCTCCATTTTTCTTTCTCAAGATTTCTTTGGCTATTCAGTGTCTTTTGCATTTCCATACATATTGTAAAATTTTTTGTTCTAGTTCTGTGGACAATGCCATTGGTAGTTTGATAGAGATTGCATTGAACCTGTAGATTGCTTTGGGTGGTAGAGTCATTTTCACAATGTTGATTCTTCCAATCCAAGAACATGGTATATCTCTCCATCTGTTTGTATCATCTTTGATTTCTTTCATCAGTGTCTTATAGTTTTCTGCATACACGTCTTTTGTCTCCTTAGGTAGATTCATTCCTAGGTATTTTATTCTTTTTGTTGCAGTGGTAAATGGGAATGTTTCCTTAGTTTCTTTTTCAGATTTTTTGTTTTCAGTGTTTGGAATGCACGAGATTTCTGTGCATTAATTTTGTATCCTGCTACTTTATGAAATTCATTGATTAGATCTAGTAGTTTTCTGGTAGCATCTTTAGGATTCTCTGTGTACAGTATCATGTCATCTGCAGACAGTGAAAGTTTTACTTTTTCTTTTCTGATTTGGATCCCTTTTATTTCTTTTCCTTCTCTGATTGCCTTGGCTAAAACTTCCAAAACTGCCCCTATCTCTTGTCTTTTTGATGATGGCCATGCTAACAGGTATGAGCCAATATCTCATTGTGGTTTTAATTTGCATTTCCCTAATGACTAGTGATGTTGAGCATCTTTTCATGTGCTTGTTGGCCTTTCGTATATCTTCTTTGGAGAAATGTCTGTTAAAGTTCTTTTGTCCATTTTTTGATTGGATTATTTGGTTTTTTGCTGTTGGACTGTATGTGTATTTATATATTTTGGATATTAACTATGTATGTCAGATACATAGTTTGCAAATATATTTTTCCATTTCATAGGGTATCTTTTCACTTTGCTATATAGAAGCTTTTTAGTTTGATGTAGTCCCATTTGTTTTTTTTTATTTTGTGGCTTGTGATTTAGGTGTCATATCCAAAAAATCATTACCATGACCGACATCAAGGAGCTTTATTCCTATGTTTTCTTCTAGGAATTTCATGGTTTCAGGTCTTACACTTAAGTCTTTCATCCATTTCAAGTTAATTTTTGTGAGTGGTGTAAGATATGGGTCCAGTTTCATTCTTTTACATGTACATATCTAGTTTCCCAGCACCATCTACTGAAGAGACTGTCTTTTCTCCATTGAATATTCTTGGCTCCCTTGTCAAATATTAGTTGACCATCTCTGCTTGGGTGTGTTTCTGGGCTCTTGATTCTGTTCCATTGTTCTGTTTCTCTTTTTTTATGCCAGTACTATACTGTTTTGATGACTGTAACTTTATAGCCTAGCTTGAAATCAGGAAGTGTGATGCCTGTTGCTTTGTTCTTTCTCAGGATTTCTTTGGCTATTTGGGGTCTTTTCTGGTTCCATATAACTTTTAGGAGTATTTTTTCTAGGAGCATCAACTTTTTTTTTGTTTTAAGTATAGTTGATTTACAATGTTGTATTAGTTTCTGGTGTACAGCAGAGTGATCCAGTTATATATATTCTTTTTCATATTCTTTTCCCTTATGGTTTATTATAAGTTATTGAATATAGTTCCCTGTGCTATATGGTAGGATCTTGCTGTTTATCTTAATTTTATATATAGTAGTTTGTATCTGCTAATCCCAAACTCCTTTTTATCTCTCCCCCTCCTTTCCCCTTTGGTAACCATAAGTTTATTTTCTATGCCTGTGAGTCTATTTCTGTTTTGTAACTAGTTCATTTGTATCATATTTTAGATTCCACATATAAGTGACGTAAGATATTTGTTTTTCTGTCTGACATACTTCATGTGGTATGATTATCTCTGGGTCCATCCACGTTGCTGCAAATGGCATTATTGCATCCATTTTTATGGCTGAGTCGTATTCCATTGTGTTTGTGTGTATGTGTGTGTGTGTACATATATATATATATATATATATATATACACCACATCTTTATCCATTCATCTGTTGATGGACATTAAGGTTGCTTCCATATCTTGGCTATTGTAAATAGTGCTGCTGTGAACATTGGGGTGCATGTATCTTTTTGAATTAGATTTTTCTCTGGATATATGCCCAAGAGTGGGATTGTTGGATCATATGGTAACTATTTTTAGTTTTGTAAGGAACCTCCTTACTGTTTTAAGAACATCAGCTTTTGATGTCAAACCCAGGTTGAATCCTGCCTCTTCAGCTTATTGACTTTGGGAAACTTACCTAAGCTCTCAGAACTTCAGTTTGTTCATCTGCCTGGTACCTAATAAATATTAGTCACTTTCACTGTCATTAGTAGTGGTAGTAGTAGTAGCAGCTATACTATAGGTTAATATGGAATGTTGACAGGCTGGGTTATTGATCCAATATGTAAAAGGGATATCTTACTTAAATTTGTGATCTTGGCAGTTTTTAATGCTTCATGTTTTCAAAGCGTGCCTTATAATTACTTGAGTATATGCGTATAATTAGAGTGTCTAGAGCAGATTGCATACATCTCTCTATTTTCATCTCTTAGGAGTATATGCCTCTCCCTCCAGAAGAAGCGGAAAACGGGGAGAACGCTGGTAATGAAGAACCCAAGCTGCAGTTCAGTTATGTGGAATGTTTGTTGTATAGCTTTCACCAGTTGGGCCGAAAACTTCCAGATTTCTTAACAGCCAAGCTGAATGCAGAAAAGCTCAAAGATTTCAAAATAAGGTGATGTATGATTGAAGTGGCCAGTCTTTGACAAAGGTGAAAGCTATCTTGAAGCTCCCTAGGTTTTGTTTTGTTTTGTTTTTTGGCGGTATGCAGGCCTCTCACTGTTGTGGCCTCTCCCATTGCGGAGCACAGGCTCCGGACGCGCAGGCTCAGCGGCCATGGCTCACGGGCCCAGCCGCTCCACGGCATGTGGGATCTTCCCAGACCGGGGCACGAACCCGTGTACCCTGCATCGGCAGGCGGACTCTCAACCACTGCGCCACCAGGGAAGCCCTGTTTTCATTTTATAAGAGCTTTTCCCCTACCCTGCAGTGCAAAAGAATGGAAGATCCACAAAACAGGAGTGTATATAAACATACAACTATTGTGGCATAGCGAATGCATGGGAGAAGATGACCTTTTTCAAAAATGGACTCTGGCTCTCCCTACTTGCTTCATGATCTTGGGCAGGTTCCCTAACCTCTCTAACACCCCAAATTGTCCTCAGCTGTTAAATTTATTGATGATAGTACCTGCCTTATAGAGTTGTGAGAATTAAATGAGACAACGGATGAAAAGCTTTAAGCACAATGCCTGGCACATAGTGGGTATTCAGTAAACTGTATCTGCTATTACTATCTTATAGTGTTATTAGTATCTTACAGTGCAGCTGGAGGAGCAGCACTGGAGAAATCAATATAAGTCGTTTTCCTGAAGATAATCATTGCATGAACAAATTCACATCTTAAGTTTTGAGATGCTTGGCCACTGTATCATCTGTTATTGTCCTCTGTGCTTTGGTAAGGCAGAGGTTTAATACTTGGTGAAACGTTTGACCAGAAGCAGGCATCTTAGGAAATTACTCTGAAAGGGAAAAAAACAGTGATGCCACGTTGTTAAGTAGAGTTCCTAGAAGTCGGCAGGATGGAGTTACGGTACCACCTTTCTTCACATATTACCTGGGAACAAATTTGAAAAAGAGATTACTCAACATCCTTCACAAAATCTGCAGTTTTGTTTTATTTTTAAACTGAACCCTAAGGTGCAAATGGGTCAAACACTGTCCCTCCTTAGCAGGTAAACATAGAGATTAAGTGACTTGTCTGTGTCACTTGACCTTCATTTGGCTAGTGGAAGGGAAGAACCCAGGCCACCTGATTCTAGTCCCTGGCTCCTGGTTGTTTCTAATTTAGACACATACCTTGCAGGTTAACATAACAAGCTTCCTTAGCACAGTGCCAGAAGTGTTTCCCTTGCCAGGTTGAGTGTGGATCTATTCCAATTTTTGACGAAGAAAAACTGCTTTTATTTTACTTATTTGTGTTTCTCTTATGATCATACATTGATAATTAAAAGAAACTCCCCCTCAAAATTTACTCTTTATTGGTAAAGGCCATTTAGCTTTAGTATTCTTTGAATTTAAAAACAAAGTTGAGGTATAAAAGCAAATTTGAAGTGATGGTTTCTTAATTAGCAAATACTTCTTCATTTAGGCTGCAGTACTTTGCACGGGGCCTGCAGGTGTATATCAGACAACTTCGCTTGGCTCTCCAGGGTAAAACAGGCGAGGCCTTAAAAACAGAAGAGGTAAGAATACTCAGTTACATCTTGTTGGGGAATTTTTATAATAGCCACCATTTATTACAAATTCACACTGAATTCATATATTCGACTTTATTTGAAGGATGATACAACTCTTAAGTTGAAGATACAGTGTTAGAAGACTACATATTTAGTTATATGCTAAGTTATATAGGAAACTTTATCATTGTTGAAATGTCTTGAATGTTTCCAATGTTTGTGAACAATGTTATCAAATGTTGATGCATACCAGTCTTTCACTAGGGTCTCATTAGCATATTTTGTTTAAATATTTGATTAGCAATTGTGATATTTTTAATTTCACCGTTTTGAAGCCCAAATATTAGTTTACATTCGAAAAAAATATTAAACTGCCAATTCTATACCAAACTGTATGTGTTTATGTTGGGATTTTTGGTTTTCTCTGATCTCATCTATTTTGATCAATCTTCATCTTGGTCCTAATGAAATATTTTAAGTTTTCATTGTGTCTTCCTGTAACATAAACTGATATATTTTTTTAAAACAACTGCTATGTGCCCGTGACCTGTCCCTTACTCGTTTTTCAAGTAAATTGTAGATCTAACACTTAAATATTCTAACCTGACAAGGGAAGATAAAGATTATTTGCTTTCTTTGCTATCTCTACACTTGTTTTAGAGTCAAGAAATAGGATTCAGCATTATCAGTAAATATAAACCAAGGAATTCTCTAACTGTAGAAATGATTCTGAAAGAGAAGTGGAATTATTCAGGTTCTATACGGGAATGAAATATACATCATGAAAGTTATTGGCATTTTAATTTAATTTTGTTTTCCTTTTGCAGAACAAGATTAAAGTTGTTGCATTGAAAATAACAAATAATATCAATGTTTTAATCAAGGTAAGTCTTCCTTTCTTATCAAGTCATCCCAGCCAGCTAGAAAGTTAGTGCAAGAGGTTTTCCGTATGTCTTTATGTCTGCAATGGTACTGGTTAAGGAGAGACGCCATTACATTCCAGACGTTTAGCTTTTTAAAGCTTTATGCCTTTTATGACACCGAGTGATGTTTTTATAGCTATTATAGAATAATACATTGTTTTATTTATTTAAAAGTTATTGCAGAAGATACTGCAAACCAAGGGAGGCATGCAGAGTTTTTCTGACCCAGAGCATTGGAGCAGAGACATTTAGACTCAGAAATTTCACTGACTTAAGTTCTTGTAGTCTTAATACTATCAGGTCCTTTTGAATGACCAATAAAACCCTGCTTTGCTTACACTAAGAATGAACAGTCTTATGTGGCACATGAAATGTTGTCCTGTGGTCTTTTCTGTTAACTTGTCTATGTAATAAATTGAGAGTTTTCTATACTTACCATTAAGCCACAAATATCCTTCAGTTCTGTTTACCCTCGCCAAGTATCTGTTAGCCTAAACAAAAAACTAATAACCTGAGAGAACAAAAAAGGAATCACAACAAAGTAGCCATCATTTGATACTGTAAGTGAACAGTACTGTTATAAGTTGATAGTATTGTAGCCAGATGGGAGAAAGAAATATTTGTAACACTTATAGCACAAAGCTTAACAGCAACAAAATCAGGGCTAGTGATATGCCTTAAAACTAATCTGGTAAAAATCCCATGGAATACTTACTTTTTATCAGAAGAGAAAGGGAAGCTTTTCAGAGAAAACAGTGAGACATTGAGGGATGAGTATCCTTGCCAACAGGAAAAGTGAAAAGGCATTAAAAACAGAAGAGGTAAGAATACTGACTCTCATCTCAAAGACAATTTTTATCATAGCCACCATTTATTTCAAATCTTAAATATAAATAATTTCAAATGGTGGATTAATACATTAAAATGTGAGATTTGACTTTATTTGAACTGATGCTGTATGTCAAAGTTGAAGATATACTATGAGGTTAAGAACATTTTAAACTTAGCAAATACTATGTCACATGGAGATGCGACAGTTTCCTGTGCAGGAAACCATAGTGATTTAAAGATGACTGCAGTAGGAAGTTGCATGGGGAAGAATGATGAATAGGGTCAGCAACCAATGTGTAGGGTACCTGACCAAAAAATTCTGAAATATTTTTTTAATATGACATAATTCTTTGTTTTAGGGAAATCACAAGAAAAACTGGTGTGCTTTGGTCCATCCATGGCATCTGCTTGCAATCTTTAGTTCCTACCTATCCAGAAGCATCTAATTCCAAAATTTACCTTCACTTCTATTTCAGTGAATCCACAAACTATACTCCAGTTTCCCATTGTCACCTGAGATTTAACATGTTTAAAATTGAAGACTTTCCCCTTCTTCTTCCTGTTGACACTTTCTTAATAAATACCATTATTATATGCTAAATCACTCCAGCTAGAAACCTCAAGCAGTTTTGTTTCAAAGGACTTTATATTGGCTAACTCCCTGCATTCATCTGGTACCCGGGACTTAAGTTTTATATAGTAGGAGGTGATTTTTATTCACATATTCATTTTAACTGTGAAAGAAACTTAGTTTACTTTTATCAGATTTTGCCTGTATATAAAAATTAGAGTAAAACTGGTAAGAAATGTTAGGTAAAATACCAAGAATAAATATATTTAGAAATTCATTCATAGTTTTGAGGGTATTATGAGGTTAGATTATTTTCAGTTCTGGATTATGTTAACATTTAAATTCAGCAAATATTTGCATTACCTTATATTAATAATTTAGTACTTAAATCTTGTGGGTTTTTTCCTTATTGGTAATATATAGATATTTGAGGGGAAGAAAAACATGATTAGCCAGACCTTTAGTTTTGTTCTAGTTTTGAACCACTTAAAAACCTGCAAAAGCAAATGCAGAGTGCACCATTGTATCTTCCTTAAAGCACGTCAGTGACTGCACCTGTGCAAAAGAAACTACTTGTGGATTTGATTAAAGTTGATAAATATTGATTTTTTGTCCTATAACTTGAAATGACATTTGAAAAAAGTTAGCTGCAGTTTCTTAAGTGACGTGTGCAAAGTAACATTGAAGTAGCAGATGTAATTTGTAAACAAAATTGTCCTTGTTTACTTTTCTCTTGCAGTTTATTTTTTAGGTTATTATTTTAGTCGTCACCACAAAAGCAAGAAGGATAAATTAGTTTCCCTTCCTAAAATTAAAATGTGTCTCCCTGTTTCCTACCCTTACCACCACGCCCCACACCACCAAACATATTAGAAATCTCTAATTTTGTCTCTTCAGGATCTCTTCCACATTCCTCCTTCTTATAAGAGCACAGTAACATTATCCTGGAAACCTGTACAGAAGGTTGAAATTGGGTAAGAAACATATTTAAAGGGATTAAAGTGTTCTAATATTTGATTTACAAATACGAAAAAATCTGAATTCAGATTTTACATTTCCTGTACAAAATGGTACGTTATTAGTTAAATGATTCTTAATAAGATGTTAAACTATGATTATTAAAAGCATGACTTAAAATATAAAATCTAATCTAGTATTTATAAAATAAACTGGTAGAATATAACTCTGGAATTTTCAAACCTTTGTCCATATTGCTGTAACTTAATAAGCCTTTCCTGACAAGTTTTAGAAAATGAGTCACTTGTGTATAATCTGTGAAGCTACATATCTCAGATTGTTGTAAAGCCTTGTAAATGCCCCTCTGACAATGTCTGCATAACTAAAGCACAGTTAGTTTGATGACATCAGTATGTTATTTCCTTTTTTCTGATGTGACTGTCATCTTTTGGATGACAATAAATATATTGATAGCCTCTGGTATAAAAGAATTTTTTTTAATTGCTGTTCTTCCTACCATTTTAGGCAAAAGAGAGCCAATGAAGATACAACTTCAGGCTCACCACCCAAGAAATCTTCAGCA